CCACTGATATATTATTTCTTAGCAAACCATGGAGACAGGTGGCTATAAATGAGATACCTGGATTATTATGGGGTTAAAGCGGCTCAAATTCTCCCATGGCTAATACTATTGTTTCTAAGCAACATCTGTAAAATTACCTGAATAATAATACACTAGTGATATATTTTAATAGTTATTAAATAAAAATCACCTATAATCTCGAACTGCACCAGGAGTTATGCATAGCCTGCTTTAGCAGCTACTGTTGTAGATTTAAGATATGTACAGAAATAGCTGACCTAAGAGACGAAGTGCTAACAGCCATTAATTGCTATCAGCAAAGTATAAACAAATCATGGAGAGATTCAAGGAAGGAGAAATAGCTTCCAGGAGAAAAGCATATACTTACATCATAACGCATGCTTACATTGAACAAACATGACAAAGGGCTTTGGCAAACTCTGCCTTTGTGAACTGTGCTGAAAGCCATTGTCAACACTTCCTCACCTACCTCATCTTATCCTGCAAAACATCTGCTTCTTTTAAAAGACGTTATGTACTAATGTCTTCAACCAGAAATTGAAAATCATAATTTTTCTTTCAGGAGGAGGAAGGAAGGGAACAAAACATGTCTTCTGTGATTTTACTATAAAATCCACTGCTAATTAAAACTACGTATTTAGCATGAGTGAAGAGCAAAAAGGGCGGGCAGCAAACGGGGATTTCTTGGACAAAACCATGCTCCTTTGTGAATTCAGATTAGGAATGCTATGTTGATTTTTGAACATCCTGTTCTATTTGAAACAGCTGGGGCAGCAAGGAAGCCTGTATGTCCTACAGACCCAATCAGATGAAAGAGAGGCCATGAAACGCTTCTGTTGTCTACACAAGGAGACAAAATGTGTCAGATTCAACTCTGAATTCCAAGCATAACCATTTAGATCGGGCTTTGTCCAGTTAACCTGGTCAGCTTCATACGATACTATGTTATGCTCTCAGAAACTGTGGACGGACGTTGGTCCTGCTGAGAATCTCAAACGGTTTGCAGAAATCGGATCCTTTTATTCTCTTTAGTTTTTATTTAAATTCTAGTTACTTAACACACAATGTAGGATTAGTTTCAGGTGTACAATACTGTGATTCAACACACCCATACATCACCTGGTGCTCATCATGTCAAGGCCATTCCTTAATCCCCATCACCTATCTCACCCATCTGGTCGCCATGGAAGTAAACAGCAAGAGATCGCTGTAGCCTAGGCTGAAAGAATCTGGCTTCTGTGCTTCCTGCTAACCCTTTTCTCTGCCAGCAGGGGGGTTGTGCTGGATGTCTCACCGCCTTCTCACAACAGCAATAAAATGAGAGAAGCCAGTTGCCAATATGGTTCTGTTATTCCAACAGATATCTGTCAGCCAATAGTAATGCAGTCAGAGTTCTACAGCTGTAATGCTAAAAGTAATCCTCTTCCAAACAAATGTGCATAATAGTACACTTCCCTGTGCCTTGTCATTACAAACCTCTTTTCAAAAGCCTTTGAAGCATCTTTCTTTGGCTGCAATGTATTGAGACTTCCATTACTATAGTTACCCTTTTCTCTTTTGTACTACAGTTTGTGTGAAGGCTTTGAATTCCTGAGGGTTGGTAATGACTTTTCTTATCATGGCATTGTCTCTAGCCCCTAGCAGCGTGCTTGTATATAGTAGAGACCCAAATGTTTGTTGAATGTTATATTCAAACCACAACATGAACATCCTACAATTAGAATGGAAGCTCCAAAAAGGCAGGGAGCTTCATGTCTTTTGTTCACTGAAGTGAGTCGATGCACCTAGTAAGTTTGTGGCGCATAAGTGACGCTCAGTGCATATTTGTTGAGTGCATGGATAGGTATTATGAGTTTCCAAAGAGCCTGGAAAGTACTTATTTGACTGGTAAATAAAGAAGAGGAAATATTGTCCCTATGTGTAAAGGAAGTAAGACTAGATTGGCCATTTCCCCTTTCTGCAGACCAGCGGTTGGCAAACTTTTTCTTTAGAGGGTCAGAGAGCAAATCTAGGCCTTTTGAGCCATTTAGTCTCTGTTGCACCTACTCAACTCTGATGCTGAGTGTGAAAGCAGCCACAGACGATTTGTGAATAAATGAGTGAGGCTGTATTTCAATTAAATTTTATCTGCAAAAGCAGCTGGCAGGCAAGATTTGCCCCACTGGAGGCAGTTTGCTGATTCCTGCTCTAACACAATTGTGCAAGAATTATCTATTAGGATTAAGACAGATAGGTAACTACTTCCTCTGTGAAGACCATGCCTTCTGCATCTTTTTACATCCTGCATTCTCACCTCTAACGGGTAGCACAGGGCTTTGCAGTGTGGTAGCCGCACAGTATGTTTGTAAAATTAAACTGAATCCTACAGTAAGTGATTTCCCAGAACCACAGTTGTTAGTAGAACCAACAAATTCAAGTTGCTGCAATGTGCCTTTTCTTTGAACTCTCCTAGCAAAATATGTGGGAAGTTAATAGGTGCAGAAATAATGTCAAATAAAACTAGGACACCTTCTTTCTTGATAGAGTACCAATGCCTCTTACTTGAGGCATATTCTTTAGGATGTCAATAATTAACCAGAGGTAGCTCTTCTGATTATCCACAAAGCCAGGAAACGATGAACCACTGTCTCACTGCCCGTCTGAGCTTATGCTTCTTTTGAAACTTTTTCAATGAATTATTTTCACAAAAAGCATATAAGCAAATCATTGTTGGTATCTACAACTGGCCAAAATGTGCTCCCACATTTTTTTGCTCCAACGCCTACAAAAATATGATATTCTCATGAGTGTTGAGTTAGATGACTGCATTATTTCAGGCCAGACATTTGTTACAAATGGTGATGGTCTACATATTTCATTGCTGAAAAGGATCAATGTTTTAAAATGTCTAAGTAATACGAATGTGGAACAATGTCATCACAAAGCGTGCTATGCGGCCTTTTCTTATACTTGTACTACCTATTTGGAAAATTTTCAACTTATTTCTCATTTTGCTAAGTGGTGGTCTCACTTACAAACCAGGCCTGATTTCCATTTCAGCTGCAAATGTAATTTTAAAGAGAACTCCAACAAGATGACTTGCTGAACATGTTACACATTCATAGCTTTGCCATATGCTGTTATGGAAATTACAATGATTTAAAGCAATTTGGGTGTCACTAGACAGTACTGATTCACCTGATACCAAATCTAGCTGTAGTGGGAAATAATGCTTTAAATGTTTCATTTGCATATAGACCTCTGTTGAACTGAGAGACATGTATTGTTTATGTATTTTTGGAGACAACTGACTTTCACATGTTAAAAATACCGTCCTACATTTGCTGATTTCTAGAAAAATGAAGGCACTGAGGTTCAAATATACACTATGATAGCTTAGTGTCCAGGATATGGATTACTGAAGTCAGGCAGATTTAGGTTTTAACCCTGGTTCAACCATTTGATTGCTCTATAACCTTCCATGGTAGAAGAGGAAAACTAATGGTGCCAACCTGACAGGGCTGCTCTGAGGATTAAATGAGATAATACTTATATAAAGCCTGTGACATCTACAAAAAGAGCAATTTATGTGGTTGGCTACACAATGAGTAGTTGTGATTATTAGCTACTGCTGCCTAACTCTTGTGCTTGTGTTGAAGGTTAGTTCAACAGCCCCTGTAAGTGGTGGAGAAACGCTTGAGTATATGGGACCCGATGGAGGTGCTGGAAGCTGATTTAGTGAAATTAGGATATGCTACATGACATAGCAAGGTCACTATTATAGTCAATAATACCAAATGACAAAAAAAAAAAACCAGAAGGAAAAGGGCACAAAGTCACAAGATGCCCTTTTCACAATGAGAGCATCAATAATGTCACATAACTGTTGTTTTGATTTGGGATGGGACGAGTGGAGAGCTCATTTTAAGCATGCTACGGAAGGGCTTATGGAAATCCACAGTGTCTTTATATCCACTGAGCATTCTATCCAATTACATTCAGAGGAGGGAAGAAGTTTCTTAGAAATAATTACATTTGGCTGTAATAAGTGAATTCATACAGTATAATGAATATTCCTACATACTGAGGTCTGTGAGAATATAAAAAAGACAAAAGAACCTTTCCTTCCTCCTCCCCCCAAACGGACTTGGGAGTATACATTCGAATATAGATAGATTCTCTCTAAGCCAGTGTTCTGAATGGGGTACAAACTAGGGGATGCTGGGTGGTATCTGGGGACACGTTTTGATGCCATAGCCTGTGATGGAAGGTGCTACTGGCATCTGGTGAGTAGAATCTAGGGTTGCTGCTAGATGTCCTATAGGGCATAGGACAGGCTCCATAACAAAGGCTTCTCTGGCCTAAATGTTAATGCCAAGGTGGAGAAACCCAGCTCTAAGCTAATAACTGTTCGAGGTCAAATGGGTTTAAAATCACCCACACCCCTCATGGATCTTGGGGAGACTCCAGCGAAGGGCAGGCTTTTTGTCAATATAGTCAAGTGTTCCCAGTCTCCTGTGTTGATTCCACACTAATGAACCATATGCTGAAGGAGATGAATGGAGTTCATATCCTCAGGGAAAAAAAGGACTATAAATGCCAGGACTGTAGTTTACAAAGTACTATGTGTTACTTGACCTTCTGGAGACTTCAGCACTGACAGTGGCTAGATTTATGCAAAGAGGAAGGCAACCACCTAAGCCGAGTCTCTGGCCAACCTACAGACCAGGGGTCTCCTGCCACACAATTTCCTAAGCAACATCAATGCCAAGAGACAAATAGCATATTAAGCAACAATAGCATCCAATTAAAGATAGTTCCCATGTGAAAAGTTATAGGCAAAATCTTGGGATTTTTATTCTCTACTCCCACAAAACTGAAGATTAGTATCTTTTCTTTTACAAGTACCCTTACATGAACCCTACAGGGGCAGCCTAGCAGGTTACAGCCATAAATATGGGTCACCCTCAAAGACTGAAAATGGATACAAAGGACATTACTTTGAAGTTTTTGACTCTGTACTTGGTATCATCTCGGCGCCGCTGAAGAGACTCTTTGTGAACTCTGTATTTAGAATATCTCCCATCAATTCTCTCAGATAAACTGCAGGAATCCTGAAAAACAAAAAATCAAAAAAACAGCAATGCCAAAACCAGTAGGTGAGAGAAAAGTGGGGACCTGAAATGAGAATAAGAAAGTATTGGTAACTAGAGGCATTTAGGGAAGTATAGGGGGATTACAGATCACCAAGGAGGAAGAAGAAAACGGCCTCTTTGGATGCTACCTTCAAAATAAAAACAGGGTCCCACATTGGTATTTGCGTTCTTTTCACACTAGTCCTTATGCCAGTCTGAAATGATTGACATCCTTTAGTTGAAGGGAAAAAGGTTCAAGTAACAGTAAGTTGTCCAAAGATGGCCATTAATGACACATTTTTGAATGTCGTGTACTATCCCTCCAAGTAGTACCTGATATCCAAATATTCCACGTTAAAAAACACTGTTGCCTTTAAAACTAGAGTCCTCTTTTATCACTAATTGTTAAACAATATTCTACCTTTTAAAAGCCTTTTATCACATTGGCTTTTAAAGCGAAGGATATTTCATCTGCCTTCAAAAGAATAAAAAGGTAATACAGAAATTAAGGAAGAAAAGTTTTGGGATCATTCATTCATTCATTCATTCATTCTTCTTCTTTCCCCTGCTCTCTCCTTCCCTTCCTTCCTTCTTCCATTCTTTTTTTTTTTTTTTTTTTTGAGGGGAGAGAATGGAACACAGCAGTCACCATACCCAGTTATTTAGACATTTCTATTATGAATTAGGAGACAAATTAGAATAAAATGAGGGCAACTGATTTGCATATGTAAGAAAAATTATCTATGGGATTTGGTTCCCCAAACAGTCCCAAGGAACCTATGGAGTGTTCAAGCTGGAAGGGGTATTAGAATTCCAAAGTTCTCGTTTTTATATATAAAAAGCTATAGCCCAGGGAAGTTAAGAATGATTTGCCTAAGACTAGGCAATTTGTGACAGATTGGGCTTTAAGCCCAATGCTGTTTCCTTTCTACCATACCAAATATGTAAGATTTAATGTTGAACTGTAGAGCTGAACCACTTCTTTCAAAATAAGGTTAAGAAAAATGAGAGACTCTATGACATGTTTAAAAAAAAAGGCAAGGCTATCTAAATAGGATGGGTTCGTATTTACTATAGCTTATATTTGCCTAGAGTCATAGACGATAGTATTAACAAAAAATATTAATGTGAAATACATCTTCATATGTATGCTAGTGATTCCAGTGTGAGTAGGAACCATACAGATGATATTGTTCAAGCCCCCCATTTTAGGGATGAGGATATAAGTAAGATATTAAGTAATTTTGCCTGGTGCATGAGCTCGGATCAGAGTTTACATCTTTGGGCTCTTGTTCACAGCATCCTGATGTTTAGAATTAAAAATCATTAGGTTGACTAAGAAAAGCTCTTTTTAATCGTAGAGATGACTTGAGAGTACCTACAGAGTGCGTTTCAAGCTAGAGGCAGCAGGGCAAAGAAAATGGGTTTTGTAGTTAATACAAGGAACTAGATCCCAGTTCTGACTAGTTTATACTCCAAGCTTCAGTTTCTTCAGCTGTAACATGGGGGAAAATAGTGCCCATGAGTAGGGTGTCTGAGGACTTTTTTTGGTAAGTAATACAGGGTTAGAACTTAGCTACTGCCTGCTGCATAGTAGTGCAGAATAATTGCCAAATGAACTCCTTTCCATTTCAAGCTAAAGGTTTCAATTTTAATGACTAATATGGGAAAGTACAGTTACGAACTTTGAAAAATACTCTCCCTAGAAGTTTCACTATACAGGCTTCTTCATATGTATGTGTATATATAAGCTGGAGTGGGAGATAATCACTAGCCCATATAATGAAAAATAATAATAAAACCTTTTGGTAACAGTATTGAACTTTTCTTCTGTTGTGGTTTAAATCCCAAGCAGACTCTGTGCTGCTCAAACTCATGTACTGTGAGATCATGACATGAGCCAAAATCAAGAGTCATGCTTAACTGACTGAGCCACCCATGTGCCCCAACAGTACTGAAGTTTTAAATTGTACTCATGAATATCCTGTTCTGTATAGACCTTGGAGAAAAAGTGAGCTGTCAATGTAGGCTAAATTATATTTTTATGCTGGTAAAAGATAGACATCTGTTTCTCGGTGACAAATGCCACCTGTTGTCTGCCCTTCCTTCTCTTAGAGGACTTCTGTTAACTACAGAGAAAAAAGCAGAAAGGATATGGGTGTAACATAGTGCCTGCTCTCCACACTGGATAATGTTAGGGTTAGTGGAAATTACATCCACTTGGATACTGGTTTCATAATTCTTTGATAGGGATTCCGAAAGCAAATACATAATTAAATCATGAGAAAGAATTGAAACTTTAGCAAAATGTACTAGAAACACTTGGATTTGTTCTAATTGTGATAGTCTAGATGTCTGGATATGTCAGCACAATCCTGGATACCATTCAATAATGTTTAGTTACTGAACTACCAAAATATGCTAAGTGAATTAATGTTAAGATAGTGCAGACCTTCAGAGCCACATCATATCAGTGCCTCCAATAACCAATATGGCATGATCATGCTATATTTCCTATTCACTAGATTCTCAAAGAATATGTTAGATACAAACAAAACCTAAACATAACATAAGTTATATTTTAAAGCCAATGTGAAATAAGAGGTTCATGGTTTTCAAAAAGAACTCTCACTATTGTTAACTTCAGCCATATGGGGCCAAGAAATTATAAATTGCTGAAATTCTCCATTATATTCAGATCCCTAAATGACATTCTCTGGCCTGAACCTTGTCTGCCAGGACTGCTGCAGGGATATTTGTTTTGCATCTCTCCTCTATGAGAACTTTTAAAGTTACAATAAGTAAATCCACACATGTAATTAATTTCCTAGATAATGAAATGATGTGTAGTTAGAGTTCTATTAATAAATAGCATGGGACATAAAATCTAAAACTGTAGATTTGAATTCAACTCTCATAGTATGGAGATAATCTGTGTACTATCATATCTCCAAAACAAACAGTACTCTGAAAATTTGTAAGAAAAAAAAAAAAAGAAGATAGTTCATAAGGTGAAATTGCTTATCAAAAAAGCTATCTATCATCAGTGTAACATGTAACCTCTTTTAAATCTTAGGTTTTTCTAAATTAAAGTTAGAGCTAGGAGGCCAAATGAGCTTCTAGTGTGGGGGAAAGTCTCTATTTTTCCACTATTGTAGTAATATGTAAGTTCCAGTATTTTCAATACTGACTTAACAAATGTCAATAAACTCTGATAAGATGGAGTATTAAGAGTCCCCAATGTTTTTTGGTCTTTCCTCCCTCCCTACAACTTTCTTTGCACATCAGGAAGATGTCAAATGTTCTCATTCAGATAAGAATACTGAAAGAGACAAGCCAACTCTTTCTTACTCTGAAGTCTTTGAAATCTTCTAGTAAGCTCAGTTTCTCAGGCACAGACTCCAGATGGTCCAAGGCCACTCGGGTACTCTGAAAAAGAAAATATAAGGAAACCAAACATTATAAAAAATTGATCAATACTCTCAGAATCCAAGTATTAAAAACCAATTGTACCCAGGGTAGAAACTGTTCAAGCTATAGATTTAGAGTGTCAAATAAGAACAGATATAATAGTATTTCTAAGATAACTAACTATATTTTTTTTAAGTCAGAAGAATTATTTCCTTTCATGAAGTGTATGAGATGCATTTGCAAAATGGACTCAGATATAAAAACTCTTCCTGGATAATTACATTCAACAGATACTCTATGAAACTTTCTATAGAGTGTTTCCTATTAATATTAATTTACAAACCTGCTTCAGTGAACATCAGAAATAAAGCACCAAATAACACTGAGAAATAGATGAATTTGCAGTTAATCTCTCTATGGAACATATTAGAGATCCTAACTTGTTGCCAATATAAAGGAGAAAAGAGTTCAAAATTACTATTTAACAATTATTTTAGTTCAAAAGGAAGAGGACGTTCTGATAAAACTTGGGAGAAGCATCTGAAATTAATTATTTGCAACAGGGACACAAAATCTTGTTGATTATAAATAAAAAATGCAGTCAGTCTTTGATTAGGTGGCTACTGATTTAAACCCACCAATATAAACATTAAGAGGGAATAATCTGAAAATTCTTTCAAAGCCAATATGAACTAAGAAGTGGCAGGATAACCTTGAGACGAGAGACTGTATCATATGCATCTCTGCATTCTTAGCCCTGTCATAGGTACGGCTCATTTCTGTATCCTCAGTCAATAGATACTAGCTTTTAAATTTAAAGTGAATTGCAATTATTCAATGAAATAAACCACAAGTCTCATGGCTGGTGCATGGGAAGTGAAATGCTTTGCAAGAACCTGAATGTAAGTTTGCAAAGAGTTGTTGAAAAGTAACTGGCCGGGGTGCCTGGGTGGCTCAGTCAGTTAAGTATCCGACTTCAGCTCAGGTCATGAGCTCATGCTTCGTGGATTTGAGCCCCGCGTCAGGCTCTGTGCTGACAGCTCAGAGCCTGGAGCCTGCTTCGGATTCTGTGTGTGTCTCTCTCTCTCTGACCCTCCCCTGCTCACGTAGTGTCTCTCTCAGAAATAAATAAAAACATTGAAAAAAAAATTAAAACAAAAGTTACTGGCCACCCAATATTCTATGTGCTGCTCCCCTATATCTCCCATGTGAATGGTTCTGAACAACACGAGTGCAAGTGACATGTCTCACTTAAGAGCTGAGTCAGTTAAGAGCCTGTGTGTCCCATCTCAGCACTGGCCATGAGGAACTTGGAGGCCACATGCTTCAGATGACACAGCTACAAGAGAGAGGAGAGCCATCAGCCATACTGGACTTCACGTCTGTGACACATCAACCTCTGTTGTGTTAAGTCATAAGATTTCAGGGTTTGTTAATGATTATATTGCACATTTGCCTTCATTACTGAAAATAATGCCTGAGAATTACATAATTAAAATGTAGGCTAATCATGTAGTCAATTGCTTTTTTTTTTTTTTTTTCCTTTGGTGGGAGGAGGCTCTAAATTATATGAATTTTTTTTTTTTCTCAGTAGATCAGTTTTTCCGTAACTAGACAAGGTTAGGAACTGATGATATCATCATTTGGTATACCCACTTATGCTTAATCTTCTCCTTTAAATCCTCTATCTCATTCCAATGCTGTTGTCTGCCTTCATTTCATTTCCAGAGGTTCTCCAAAACATATGTGTATGGCTCTGCAGGATGTGTGTTGGGGTAGGGATGGAGACAGAGAATTGAGGGTCTAACTCTTCCTTGCAGACATTTTTGATATACTCATTTCCACCCTCTTCTTCTGTAGAAAACAGTACATCCAATTCAAAAGCCTCTCTAAAATTCTGCAGGGTGAATGGTATTTGCTTTTCATCTGTATCCCCTTGACAGGCACTTGGGTAAAACCTTCTCTGTTTTGAGTCATTTTACCATTTTTCCTTCCGTGTTCTCCATCTTGGGAGTTCTAACTGTCTTCAAGTTGTCAATGCATAAATCAGTGTTTCCCTTTCTTTGTATCCTTATTTTCTAATGTGATTTTTAAGAGAAGAGCAGAAACACCCTCATGTTACCATTTTGAAATTGGAAGTCATATGTACTGTTTCTTCAAGTTTGTAAAAATCTTCTTTTTTAGTTCCATTTAAAGGATTTAGTATTTTCTTCCTTCTGCTTAACATTTATATGCTTTTTTTTTTTTTTTTTGCCACATGTGTTCACTTAAAGGCCGACACATTTTAAATTGCTTCATTTATTTTTTCATATGTAGGAAAGATTCATCAAAATGACATGTTTCTTAATATAGGCCCCAACATGTAGGTTTAGGAGAACGAGTAACTTTAGCCACCTTTACTAATTTCAATAGTAAAATTCCGCAAGAATTATATTGGCCCTTTAACAATAAAATACAAATCAATGCCATGGTGAATTTAAAGCAAAATTTTTTTGTGTGTCCAATAAAATCTTCTTCATAAACAATGATTCTAATAGACTTGTAGTTTGGAAACTTTATCCCCCAACCCCTTTTTTTAAATCCCATAAATCTTCTCATTCAGAAGTGACCCTCTGAACCAGGGAGAAGTATGCTAAACTCATTTTGTTCTTAAATAACTAAATGATTTCTTTCCCTACTGTAAAATTCAGCATGTTATACAAATATTTTTGCTTCAAATTTTCAATCAACCAGGTGGCTGCATGAAAAATTTTTTTTCTTGCATATTTTCACATACTAGTTTATTTTGACTATTTGGTAGTTTATGGATGCATATTCAAAATGGCTATATATATATATATACATGTATATATATAAACACAAACATATATACATATATGTATACATATGTACATACGCATATTTGAGTGAGCCTTAAAAAATTGTTGACTTCTACTTTCTTAAGTACAGTTATTTTTCTACTCTCCTCCTCCACCCCCCACATCTCCGTTAATGTCTTTAGCTTTCTCATCATCTTATTTTAGTTGTGACTTACTTATATTCCTTTCATGTGTTGTTTCTAAGTATTTTACTCAATATCAGAAATTGTTTCTGGTACACAAGACTTTCCCTTCATCCTTATAGTCTCATCAACTGGGTAACACCAAATGTGTATCTAGACATCACAGAAAGAGCCACAAGATGTATATAGCACAGGTCCTGTTCTTTAGGAGTTTTTAACTCACTGGGGGGAGAAATTTGTACAAGCAAAAGATATAAGCATTATACAAAGAAAAAGTTGACTGCATTTATATTAAAGAAATTATATACACAGATGTTGAGATTTCTAAGCCATCTGCAACAGGATGACAGGAAATAATGAAGACAATGAGTCCAGGCCCAGAGGCTTCTCAGGTGTCATAATATCATCATTAAGCAATATTTTGAGGAATATATTTATTTTCTGACTGTTTAAGCATGTGAGCATGCTTAAAACCACCACTTTGGCATACAGACTTAAGAGTATGCATATTCACATTCAAACTTTTTTTTAATAACATGAGACTGTCTAAGGTTCTGTGATTAGAGTCTGATCACATTACATGTCACTTCAAGTTCACTTTCCCCCAAAAGCTAACAGTGTTAGAAAAAGGGAACCATTAGGAAATTAATAGTCTAAATAAGGACCCTGTTGGTTTTTAGATGCCATAAAGACCCATATAGCATGTTAGTTCCTAGGGCAACTCGTGCAATGTCAGGGAAACTTTTCATTTTTTAAGTTGGTTAATTATCACTGCCTTACACCATCTGATGCTTTAAAGGGCACAGACAAGTTTCCACTGTTAGAATGAAGGGAATAATTTCTCCAGTTTATTCAGAAATGGCACCAGCAAATGACAGGTGTTTAACCGGTCTTTCGTTTTCTTAGATCAATTTTCTAAAAGAACTGAATGGGACATTCACAAAGGGCTTAACCATTCTTTCTCTTTTGAAAATATTAGTAGGTATTAAACTTCATATCAAAATTGAAAACAAAGAAAAATTCACAATTAAAAGTCTACTTCATAAAGGACCAATACATTGTGTATAATACTTGGTTTATCTCAGAGGCCTAAGGAGCTGAACTTCCCCTGAGCTAAGAGCAGTGGCAAAGCAAATGATCAATTACTCCTAATTCTGTTCAGTAGTATAATGAAAGACTGAACCATAAAAATGTAACTCAATTTCAAATATACTTCTTAGTCCTCACCTCAAGGTATGATGTAGACACTACTGCTACCCCCTTTATACAGATAAGACAACTGAGAACCAAAATGTGAATAACCTCCTCACAGTCATGTGGTGGCAAAACTGGGATGCAAATCCAAGCAGTCAGAATGAAGAAATTGCAGTGCTCTTGTTTTTATTTTTAAAATTTATTTTGATAAAGAGCACACACGTGCAGTGGAGGAGGGGTAAAGAGAGAGGGAGAAAAGTTCTGTGATACCAGTGCAGAGTGCGAGGCAGGGCTCGATCTAATGAACCATGAGATCATGATTCGAGCTGAACAGACACCCAACTGACTGAGCCACCTGGGCACCCCAGCAAAGTTCTTATTATGTAAGTATTTTCATGGTGAATCACTAGAGTCTGTACATTGTTTTATGTAAATTTCTAATTTGTCTCCAGCTATCAGCTTTTAGCATCTAGAATATTGAAGCTATGTCCCTGATGGGCTTATTTATGGAAAAGAAGTTTCAAGATGAACACAGGAAGAATTTCATCTTGCCAGTGCCAAAGTCTGTGTCTAAGACCATGCATCCAAGCATATATAAGCAAAAAAGGGTGAGGATATTCTTTCTGTTGATTAGAGGAAGTTAGGTATGAGATTAAGTTTCATGACACTATCACACCCTTTGCTTTCCTTCCTTCCTTCCTTCCTTCCTTCCTTCCTTCCTTCCTTCCTTCCTTCCTTCCTTCCTCCCTCCCTCCCTCCCTCCCTCCGTCCCTCCCTTCCTTCCTTCCTTCCTTCCTTCCTTCTTTCCTTCCTTCCCTCCGTCCCTCCCTCCCTCCGTCCCTCCCTCCCTCTTTCCTTCCTTCCTTCCTATAATATAGAGCAATAGCATAGCACACTATCTGGCCACAAGAGGTGCTTTAATAAATGTTGGCTGAATAAAGACAAAGGCAGAGTTACCACTCTCTAATCAACTCACTGAATCTCAGCTTCTTCATTAAAAACTTAGCAGCAAAAGTTTGCTGTTTCTTTTCTCTAGACTAAGGCAAGACCAAGTGGTAGAAACAACAGTGAAATTCAGAAATCCAGTCCATTAGGGTCTGTGGCTTGTGCATCTACAGGTAGGTTTAGATATCAATCTGTTGAAAAGGTGAAGAATAAGTGGGCAATTTTCCTATTCCAAAACCTTCAAACTGCCATGTGGCTGAGTGGTTTGTATTGGTCTATAGTGGATTTTCCCTTAGTTGTTCCTTTGTTTCCAAGTACAGGGAAATTGAATAATGCAGTATGTCAACATAAGTAGCAGCAATTAGGAATTAGAAAGGGGCTTCACTGAAGTTGTTAGTTTCCTGTCTCCTGTAGAGAAAGCTTAAAGAAACAGATTTATCCATGGGTATATTTTAGTAAATACACTTCTCTTTGTAAAAATGCACATGTAGTTATTTTTTTCTTAACATACAACAACTACCATTTTCTTAGAGTGCTACTGAAATCATATGTTTTGAGGTTTAGATGATAAATAAAGGAGATGCTATATTTTAATTTTAAAAATACATGTGTGCATTTTTGGCACTATACTGATGTTAAATAAACAAGGTTATGAAGCAGTTTATTTGGGTTCAAAAATGCAATTCTATTTCATTTGGAAAGAGATCTACTGCAAAACTTTCTTGACAAATGGCTGAAAGGTGGTAAGAGGACCTGAGTAAACAAATTTCAAGGGGAGGAAGGGTGAAATCATGAAAAGGATAGACTGTCTGCCTTTTCACTTGTGGGGACTCTATCCAGCACGGAGCTGTATCGGCTTCACAGGGCCTTCTTTTCATTCAAACCGTATCAGGCGATCCTTGAGACCAAATGGAACAGTAGCAGAGAATAGGCTGGCAAAGTCATTTTGTTGACGTACAGCCTTCAAGGGGCCTCAGTACTCAAAGTTGCATGGATTTCTCGGAATATCAAGAGAGTCCTCTATTTCCAGACTGTGTACTTTAGGAGAGTTCTAAAAATCAGACACCCACTTAGATAGAAGTGTTTGTGTGTATCTTGGGGTAAGAGGGTAAACAAGGCTTGTTAAATAAAAACACCAGTTCATGGGGCAATATGACATCAGCGACTACATTTGAGCTAAACCCAGAATTTTTGTCAACAACAAACCCTATTTGTCTCCATTTAACACCATTCTAGTCAAAAGTAGATCTCCTTTAAAAAGCTCAAATTTATAAAATATGAGAACAGGTGGCCTAACATCATTGGAAGACTTGAATAAAGAAGGCTTTCTAGATCTTTTCCAACTCTCATTCACAGTAATTTTTTAAAGTGAGGAAATATAAGAAACCGAATCTGCCATAAAAGATTACTATTTTGTTATTTTTAGACATAACCAACCATATGTTATAGTCAACCCATGATTTTTGCTTAATTGGGGGAGATTTTTCAATAATTATAAGAATGATATTACATTGTATGTTAACTGGAATTTAAATAAATACTTGAAAAATAAAAAAAGAAGTAAAAAATAAATCACTTTTTAAATTGAAAACAAACAACCCCAAAACAAAAAACCAAGAATGCACTGAAAGAAAAGGGAAGACAGAATAAGTATTAAACATCTTTTTTCCACTTGAGATTCTTGAGATTCCCTTTACATATTTTTCTTGCTACTCCCTGATAGAAGAGAAAAATAACACATGAAGACAAACGAGGACTAGTTTAGTGCTCTCTGTATGACCTTACAATTGGTTTACAGGCAGGGGGGTCTTGAGATCCATAATCTAATTTCTGTGAAATCACACTATTTAAAAAAACTTTATTTTTAAATGTTTATTTATTTTTGAGAGACAGAAAGACAGTGTGAGTGGGTGAGGGGCAGAGAGAGAGGGAGACACAGAATCTAAAGCAGGCTCTAGGTTCTGAGCTGTCAGCACAGAGCCCGACATGGGGCTCAAACTCACAAACCCTGAGATCATGACCCAAGCCTAAGTCAGACGCCTAACCGACTGAGCCACCCAGCCATGCTATTTCTTAAAACTGAAAATAAAGTGAATTCCCAAGGCAAAGAAATTTAAGGACCTTTGCCCCCAAAATGTGATTGGATGTTCATAATGGTACACTGTACATGCAAAGACTTCTCACAAGAGCTGGAGATTAGCCATTTCTGCTAAGTTGGCAGGGAAGGAAACCATGCTCCTGATATACTGGTCCCACACGTGTGTTTCATGCTGGGAGATGAAGAACAGTGGTGAACCGGGAGTCAGCACACCTAATTTCTGGATACGCATAGTTCCAGCAATGTTACTCATATTCTGTGTTTCGGGGAATATTTTCCTTGCCTTACCAAGCTTCAGTCTTTTATTTCCAAAATGGGGATAAGTACTGCTGGTCTTTATTATGCCACACACACAGCCATGATTATCAAATAAGAGTAAATGTGAAAGCGTGCTGAAAGTTGTCAAATTCTTTCCAAATTGCAGGTATTTTAAAAAGGCCGATTCTGTGAGGCACTATCCATTCTGGTAATTCTTAAATGCAGAAGAGGAGGTCAATGACAGTCTAAAATTACAACTAATAAAAAATAGAGTAGAAAGAAGAAACAAGGCAAACTTAATTAAAACTATATCCAATATTTAGAAATACATTTGCTGTTCTACGTAGAGACATTATCCAAAACACGAAAGTAATAGAAGTATAATGGCACATATATTACTTATGCACATACTGTGCCCTTGGTGGAGAATGTTCCCTCCAGCTTCCTTATCTGGTTAAAATTTTTCCCCCCAACATTATGAGCATTTTCAAGCATGCTGGAAATCTGAAAGAAATTTAGAGATCACCCATGTATACTCTCACCGCCTAGATTCTATTGTTTACATTTTATTTGCTTTATCACATATTAATCCATCTATCTAAGCCTATGTGCATCCATTAACCCAATTTATGTTTTGGATGCCTTACAAAGTAAATGATATACATTAGTACACTTTCCCCTAAAGGCTTCAGCATGCATATACCCTTAGCTCCACTTGGATTTTTGTTTGATTTTTAAATGTAAAATTTACAGCTGATGAAATGTGAAAATCTTAAGTAAACTGGCTAAATTTTATTATCTTTTATCACTTCCTCAGGGAAGGCTTCTCTGCCTTTACTGATCCCATCACACAAGCTCTCCATTGCACCCTGAGCCTTTCCTCTGCAACACTTACCAAAATATTTATTTGTGTGATTATTTGATTAATGGTTGTGTTGAGTTTGGGCAATAAGCATCACAAAGGTAGGGCATAACAGTCTTCACTCACCCCGGTACTCTGGGACCCCACCCAGTGCTTCCAAAGAGGCAGTATTCAATAACTACTTCTTGAATGAACGAATGAATCTTATTAGTGATGGAAAAGTTCTCATTCTTTTACCCCATGGGCTTCAGTTTCCCAATCAGGAAACTGGGGAAGTAGGATCTAAAAATTTCTAAGTCACCTTCTGGCTATAGCTTTAGTCACTTAAGCTTTAACTTCTTTCCACAGTAGGTTGGGATCTGATTTTTAAGCTGAAAAGGTTGGAACGAATATGAAAAATCACTTTATAAAGAGAAAGTAAAGTAAGAAGGAAATCATATGTGAGAATTTAGGAGTTAATATTAACTCCCAAGAAATACCCAAGAGCACATGTGGGATAGAAATACCTTTACTCCTTTACAGCAGAAAGCCAAACTAATGATTGCAGAAGAAAAACAGGATGATGGACACTTTTATCTTTTTGGGTGCTTGGCCCATCAAAAAACTCCATATATTTATCATGTTGTATTTTTTAGAACAGATAATTCCAAAAGCAGGCATGAATTGCTTTTCATCTTTTTTCACTTTACATCTGTCCTTAAAAATATATATATTACCCTTCATTTAAATACTTCTAATTAGCTTCTGGTTCTATCACATGAATGTTACTCTGTACCTCTCACCACAAAGCTTCTGGGCCATCATGACTTTGCACATGAAGTCCATCTGTCTGAATGTTCTCTACACACTGCTTAAATTAGCTCACTGATTCTCCTTCTGCAAGACTTGGTTTGGTCACTACCTTCTCTAATGTGGCAGTTAAGAGTAAGTCTGCCTGAGCTGAAATCCTGATTTCATCACTTACTGGCTATGTTTCCCTAGGTAAGTTCCCAGATCCCTCGACACTGGGACTCAGTTTCCTCGATTATAAATAGGAATGTGTAGAATTATTGTTAAGGACTAAATATATTAGCACATGGAAAGTGCCTAGAGCAGGGCAGGATACTAGTAAGCACTCAGTAAACATTAGCTATTGTTACAATGGTAATATTAGTTATTCTTCCGTGAAAGGTTCCCCTGAAGTCTGGGTTAGGTGCCCAACCTCAGTGCTTCCTATGCACACACGTCTCCGGTCACACGTCTAATCATTTCCTGTGTGTTACATCTTAAAAGGAAGACTGTATTTTTCACTATGTTTGTAGTGCTGTGTACTTAGTACCATACACAATAGATTTTAGTTTTATGAAAAAAACCTTCCCAACGCAAAGACTAATAAAGGCACAGTTAGAACTCAGAAATGTTGCAGAAAGAAAAATACTTTGTTAAAGGTATAATTTAAAAATTGTTTCTGAGGGGGTAGAGGATATTTCTAAATAGACTCAAAATTAAAGAATAATAACAAAAACAGAACTGGGAGGAAAAAGGTACTGTAAAGTTGAGTGAAAAGATATAGACAGAGTTAGAGACAGGAAGACGCGAGTAAGATCTTTTCGTGGACCAGTAAGCAGAAGCAGGAAGCCTGTGTTGTGGAGAGCACCCTGCTTCCCGTGGATGAGGAGGCAGGGGCTGAGCCACACCAGGCCACGGGTGGTACACCCCGCCACAGGGAAGATACCGAGAAATGCTAATCAGTTCCCTGAATACTGCAAAGCCCTCCTCCCAAGGCCTCAAGACACGCTAACGCAGGCAATCACATTTGCCTCTTCTGTATTTAACAGGGAACAGAGGGTCTTGACGTGGAACACTGATAAGGAAAGATAATTGTTCTGGTTGAGGTAGGGTCCAGGCTAATTTACTTAAAAGCGCCTTGGTGAGGTAAATATAATTAATCTTCTCTGTTCTCAAAATAAAGGGTTATTTTCTTTTTAAGAGATGTCTTGTGTTCTCAAAGAGAATGACAAAACAAATTAATCATTTTCCATTACTCCACACACAGCACTTGGATTTTGAAAGAGCATGTGAACAGTTAATCCCCTATATGGATGAGTTTCTGGTGACAGGCAGATCAGATCTAAATAGAAATCAGGCAAGGTATTTTATTTTTATCGTTGTGGCTTTGAGACTTAATTCAGAATAACTGAGATCAACCCTGCCTATACTTTTAGAGTTTGCTTTCATAATTAATCCTTTTTTGAACACTTAGAAACACTCTATTGGATCTCGTACAAAGCATTCCCCTGGCTGACTACTGCCAAAGCAGGCAGAAGCAGAGACTATCTAGAATATTTTAAAACCATTGAAAACTCAACTGAACTATCTCTTAAGGAATCCCAACTGCCAGGCCATACTTAGTTCAAAGTACCAATAATCTGATGTTAGAGCGATACATCTGAGCAGATAGGTCACCTTAGGAACTAATGTTAGAGATGAACTTTAAGTATTTGACATGCTCTGTTAAGCTGTCTTGAATGGTGAAGAGAAAGCAAGAGAGCACCGATGGGGTATCTGTGAGCAGAAGTATATATTTTTAACTAAAGCCAATCAGTTCCTCAATTTTATGCCACAGGCTGAAAAAGGTGGACTACAAAAGCCAGTGGGCATAAAACAGCTGACAATATTATTTGGTGAGCAAATTCGTCTGACGTTTGCCACAACCAATTGTTCTCCTAAAACTGAAATTTCTAGAAAGCTTTTTTTTTTCTTTTTTCCAAATGAAAGCCATGCATTCATTTAACTGGACAACAATGAAGCTTTGTGGCCTCGCAGTTAGTATGAAAAGGAGTTGGTCTTGCCAAAACAATTTGAAATTTTGAATTTAGGCTCCCTACCCCCACTTCATTTTAACACACTCAACTAAAAGGAACAAGTTCCTCAGGCAGTACTGGACACTTTTTAAAAAACAAAAAAACAGAAGTAGCCAAAACCACATGACTTGGGACATTGAAAAGTATGTTATAAAAACTCCAGAAAACATGCAATACTCTGGGAATTAGGCAGGATTTCAGAGGATTTATTATAGAGAAACTGGATGAAACATATGTCTTTCCTTCACACAGCAAGAATTACTGAGCACTTACTATGTGCAAATCAAACTACATAACATCACTACATCAGAGTTCACTCTGCTGAAGCTGCCCAGATTTAGTTCAAGCATATTCTTTTCGGTTCCTGAATGAAAATAAGTTATTAGGGCAATAGAGAGACATATGTATATTACATTGTAATGTTTCATAAACTGACTTCTTTTTTTACCATTGAACTGGGAAATTTTAAGCATAGGGACTACACCTATTTTTTGGCTCTTTGGTATTAAAACATACCAAAGAGTAGTAAACAGCTACCCAATAAATACTTATTGAATTTGGTCCTATAGTTTACTTCTCAGCCATCCAGTAGCCATCCAGTAGCTGTATACATGCAAAGTTAATTTAAAAATATGCTAATGTGCAAGAGGAGATAATTTATATTAGACTTGGGAATGGTCTCCTACGCTCTCAAGTGAATATGGGTGTACCAGGAGTTCTGGGATATACTCTAAAAGAAATAATGATATTGCAACAATAAATCGAATTATGTGAGAAAGGTATTCCACTTTTTCTTTGAGGATTCCTGCTCCCTACATTTTCTTGGGATATACTAGGACAGGATACCCAGGAGAAGTACGTCAGAAAGACGAAATCTGAAATATTTTATATTGCCTTACACTGCCTTTACCCGCCCCACCCCCATCACTAACTTTAGCTGGAGGCTAAAGGCGAGAGGTTCTATATTATTTCTAAGAAGGTGCAGATATAGGTACAACCCAAAGTCACGCAGAGCACTACTTTACATATAAATATGTTCTCTATCACTTAAACTTAGAGGGAATCCAGTGATTTAACTGGATGCAAACAAGATACCTGATAGTCAATCTGGGTCTATCAATTTACTGTAATATCATTTGAAGTAAGTCACAATTTACACACGATGGAATGATAGGGATAGGAGATTCATTTTAACAAAAACAAACAAACAAACATTAGAGAATATAGACTGGCACTTTGCTCCCAGATCCCAGAACACAACAATTTACTTCTCCTTAATCTTTAGTAAATCTGAAAAATTAGTCATCACCATTTACTCTGGTCCAATAGGTGAAGTTTTAAAAACAATATTTTACTTATTTGATGAATAATTTGGCGAATAACATTTATATAACAGATAACAGTGAAAAATAACTTTGTTAGAAATTTTAGTAAGAATTCAAGCATATTATATATTCTTCTGGTTTTAAAGGTATGAATACAATGGACTTCTGATTAGCTATGATTCATGATTCCAGAAAATACCCATCTTATAAATACTGATTCTGGATTTCAAATATATTTCCAATGAGTTCTAGTTTATCATTACTTTTGGCTCATTATTCCCACACTTGCATCTTCAAAACACAATACTTCTAAAAATATTGACAGCCCCTATTTTTTTTTTAAATTGATAAAGCTATCTTTTCGCTACATAATTGCAATTTGTTTTTTCATTTTTTAGATTTATAAGCATCAATTAGGATGGCCAATCTAACAAAAATTTTCTTTTCTGTATGATCTTCTCCTTCCAATCACAT